CATTACACAATTCAGTTAAAATATATTGATTATTAATAAACTTAAGGCAAAATACCATTTTTCGTCCCTTAACTTTAGCTCAGGGTCTAGTTTGGTTCATTAACTATAAAAAGTAACAAGTTGGTCCTCTAACTTTTAAAATGGTGTCAATTGAGTTCTCACTGTTAGTTGTCCCCAAACGTCTGTTCATTTTGTGCACGTGGCAGATGACTTGGCAAGTTATCTTCATCATGTTGTTTTCATCTCCTTCATCCTCCTATTCCTATACTATTTTTGATTTTTTTTCGTTCTCCTTCTCCTTCCTCCTTCCCAATCCCAAATCTCAAAATTAACCTAGAGATTTTGTTTTTGACAAGCATGAAATCTAGTTGTTCGTCCTCCATGTTGAAACAAGAAAGTGGAGATTCAGATGTTTGTATTAGGTCACGATGAAAATCCATATGCCATTGTGGAGACATGGATGTTCTTTAAAGGCCAACTACTGTTAAGAATATGGAAAAGTTTTTCCGGGGTTGTCCAAATTTTAAGGTATGCAAGGTTTTTTAATTTGTTAATAAGTTCTATTTAAGTTACATTTTGTAGGTAACCTCTAAACAATGAAAATTTCAGGGAGGTATGCAAGCTGGGTGTGGTTTCTTTGGTTGGTTCTATGAGGAAGTGTGTGATGAGAAATAACAATTCTGGATGCATAGGCTGGGTGTGGTAACTAAGGGACTTGCTGAAGCAAAAAAAGACATTGAAAAAGTGACAATGGAGAATGAAGATTTAGGGAAAAAGTTGATGAAACTTGAAAGTGAAATGTAGAATATCATGAAGTGGAAAAAGATTTTGAATTTGATGTTTGTGAAAAAGATTTTGGGTATTAAGGTTTGTTTGGAAGTAGTATGTTATGGTTTGTTTGTAAGAATTAACTAATCTTTTGTTTGTAAGAATTAGGTTTAAGTTCAATTAAAGATCGTATCAGTTTTGGATTGTATCAGTTCAACCTGAATGTAATAGTTGGATTCTTTTAATTTTACTTTTTGCAGTTCAACATGAATGTATCAGTATGTTATGTTATGTTTTTATGTTTATTTGGTCTGTTATAGACCTGTCAATGTTGGTTCTGCTTTTAACTTGGTATGCATTGTTAAAGATTATGTTATTTTTACATGAATGTAATATTTGGTCTGTTAAAGATTAGCTTGATTTTAACACACAATGATCTATAAGTGTTTTATATAACACACAATACCTATAAATTCTATTTGGTATGTTCTATTTTTATGTTTACTTAGTCTGTTATAGACTTGTCAAAGTTGGTTCTGGTTTTAACTTGGTCTGCATTTTTAACACAACATTATGACAGGTCCATAAACATTATGACCTATAAGTTGATTCTTCTTTTAACATAAAGTTGATAACAGTTCCATAAATAGGTTCTGCTTTTAACACAACATTATGACAAGTTCTATTTCATAACATGTCCACAAACTGATACACATGTTCCACAAAATACATAAAGTCATTCTACACATGTTCCAAACAACAGCAGGATACATAAACTTATAATACACATGTTCCAAACAACAACAAAAAACATAAACTATTATACAACAAAATACATAAAGTGATTCCACATGCCATGATAGCCTAATTATATCTAGAGTTTCTTCTTTGACGTGATCCTTTTTGTTGGAGTAGACCTCCTTGTTACTGGGCCAACAACATTCTTGGAAGCACTCAACCTAGTTGTAGGCCCAGTTGGTACAAAAGGTCTTGTTCGCTTTCTAACAGGCATCTTTTGTGTCTTGCCTTTAGCAGGTCCATGTGTCTTCTGAGCAGTCTTCCCCTTAGAAGTCTGGGATGCTTGGCTAGATTTTTGAGTAGAAGTTCCTTAGCAGTGTGTGTTGTTCTCTTAGCCAGAATCTTCTCTCCACACAACCCCTTTAGAAAACACCCATTTAGACCTATTACATGCCTGCACAACTTAAAGCTTTCCTTACACGCAGCATAGCATATGTAAAGCCTTCTAAAATATGGTATTTCATCCTCAACACCTTCTTGTACAGGCTCCACATTGAGCTTAACTGTTGACCCTGGAGTGCCTTTTAACAGTTCACAACAATAGTCATAGACCCTTGTGTAATCTCCCAAAAAAGAACCATTAACATAATCTCTAGCTGCAAATCCTGCTCTTATAGCTTTGGTTTTGTTGACCCCAACATTCCACTTTCTTTGTGCCTTCCGTTTAATTTCCTTTATACTCAACCTTAGATTGTTTTTCAAGCTATTCTGAATTCTTTTACTCAACCACTTTATACTCATCAGCTTCACATTATACTCTCTACTACAACTGTGTTTGTCAATTACTTTCCTGAGTTGACAAGTGTCTTCATTTGACAACTTGCTACAATAAGTCTTTCACTCACAACCAACTTTACATCTAAACCTTACTCTAACTCTATCATTTTTTACAAACCTAAGGTCTCTACCATTTTGCACAACATAAGTTGTTATTGCTTCCCTAAAATCACCCTTTGAACTAAAGTACATTCCCACATCCCATATGTAATTTGACATGTCTTTTGGCTGTCTGAAAATTGGATGTTTTTTTCTTAGAACTCCACTACTATCATCACTGTCACAACCACTTTGCATGTCCTCGCTGTCATTGTCACTCCCTTTATCTTCTAAAGACTTATCATTAAGTTCTTGAACATCTCCATTACCATCATTTTCATGACCAATTAGGGTATCAAGTTCATCCTCCTCAATATTATCACACCCATCAGACTCATCCTCAAAAGCCATATCTTATGCACTATTATAATTGTAGTCCTCATCTTCACTATCATCAGAAGATAAACTTAAGTCATCATCCACTGCAGGTTTATCTTTTTCAACTCCGACATTACCTTCTTCCCCTGCAGGATTCCCTTGTTCAACTCCAACATTAACTTCCTCAACTCCAACATTACCTTCTTCCCCTGCAAGATTCCCTTATTCAACTCCAACATTAATTTCCTCAACTTCAACAGTATATTCATCCACTGCAGGATTCCCTTGATCACCTCCAACATTACCTTCCTCCAACCCAACAGTGGCTTGATCAACTCTAGCATCACCTTCCTCCATCACAACAGTGGTTTGTTCAACTTTCACAACTTCATCATGTTGTTGACTAAGTAACTCCTCCACCTCATCTACAATTTCAATAGGGTCCTCATCAACTTCATCAACAACAACATCACAGTAGTCAAGTTGAGACAAGGTGTGTTCAATATAAATATCAATATTTTGGTGCACCTTATAAAGATCTGCAATTTCTAAAGTACCATTGTCATTAACAAGTGGATTCATCGCAAATTGAGGGTACTTGTAAAATATTGTTTCAAACTCCCTATAACCCAAGTCTTTCAATACACCAACTAGCTCAAAATAACTCCATTTGTCTACATCTACTCTCAAATCATCTACTACTCCATTCTCATATACACTACGACCTTCATTAGTGAACTCACCACTATGATGAATTTTGAGAGTTATGTATTCATCCATAATACCTAATCATATCATTTAAATAATTAGAGCTTACACTAAAAAATTTACATAAACCCTAAATCTGAACCTCTAGCAGATATTGCCCTATGAGATTCGTAAACCCTAAATCAGAGAGAAATGAACTAACCCTTTGATAATGTTTCCTTGAATCGTCTTCAATCCTCAACCCTAAATCCTTCGCGTATTGAATTCTTAAACCGTCTTCAATGGAAACCAAGGTCTTCTGGGTAAACGTTTTATCTTCTGGGTAATAGAAACCAATGTCAAAGGGGATTTGCTTTAAGACATTTCATATCCACGTCAGCAACATTAAATCTACATGGATAAACGTGACATTATTTTTCAAATTTTAACTAACAGCAATAAACGAAAGGATAAATGTGACACCATTTTAAAAATTAGAGGACCAACTTGCCACTTTTTAAAATTAAAAGATCAAACTGGATTCCGAATTAAAGTTAAGAGACGAAAAATGTTATTTTGTCTAAACTTAAAAGAATATTCTTCTTTACCCGAATATTATCCAACAATTAAATTGATAATAAAAGTTGTTGAGTGAGAATGAACCTAAACTACCTAAACTATGTTCGTGTCAATTGTAGTGCTTTTGTTAAACATGATAATATATATACTATGATACAATATAAATTAGTTGTTAAAGTGATAACGACATAGTGACATAGGTATTGTCACAACATCAATTGAATTGTTAAGTAAACATCCCATTTGTCACACAATCAAACTTCAACCTTTGTCATTTACAACAACTTTATTCCGTTGCTAAAACAAAATTATTCCTTATTTTGTCATTCTTCCACTTTATCCTCCTTTTGATTTGAACTCAATGGGTGGGTGAATTTGTTTAATCATATTATAAGTGATCATTGTTGTTTTCTTATTGATGCTATAATCTAGCATGCCATGTGCATATAATAATTGATGCATCAGATAATCAGATAACGTTAAGGTCCACCTTCCTTTATTAACTTAATTTTATCGATAAGTAAAGTCTGATCAAAAATTGTTTGACCCTAATTTCGACAAGAAAAATCTGATCAAAAATTGTTCGAGCCTAATTTTGACCGATGATGGATAAATAAAGTCTGATAAAAAATTGTTTGACCCTAATTTTGACAAGGAAAATCCGATTAAAAATTGTTCGAACCTAATTTCGACAAGTAAAGTCTATTCAAGAAATGTTCGAAGAAGAGTTTGTGCATGCATATATATCAATATTAATCCACCTTGAGACATAAAACTTATAGAAATCAATTGATATGAAAAAAGTTTATGATGCATTTATCTACTTTTCAAAATGAAAATTATTAAACCTTGCAAGTATACAAAGGCTGAAAATCAATCTAACATTTATTCAAATGCACCAGCTGCAAATTTTCTCCTCTGGTAAATGTACTTTCTTTCTATAAATTTCTTTTCGAGGCGAAACTATTTCGATACTAGTCTTGTACCAAACCATGCGCAGCCAGTTCTTCCAAACCTTTCTTAAGCCTTTCCGCCGCTGCTCTACAGTCATTCTCCGTCAATCCTCCGAACGAAATTCTAAGATTTCCAGGAGCACCGCACGCGCTTCCGGGGATAACAGCAATCCCGTGCCTATTCGCTAGCCAGTGAACAACTTCAAAATCATCGTAACCGTGTCTACTAGGGATCTTCACCCAGAGATAAATAGCTCCTTCTCCTCCTTTGATAGAACCTTCTCCGAGAGAGGAAAGAGCCTCCAAGACAATGTGTCGGTTCTTTGCGAGAGTTTTTACTCGTTCGATAACCCACTCGGGTCCCAATTCTAATGAGTAGAGAGCAAGGTGTTGTGAAATTATTGAAGCGCAGATTGGAATGTTGTCTTGGACTTTCAGAAGCTGCGTAGCGAGTCCTTCTACCTCAGAAGGGTATGCTATCTGCAGCAACGACAAACAACTTATGATGTGCTTATAGCATAAACACTTATCTTATAAGTGATTCTGGATAAGATATTAACTTACGTATCCAACTCGCCATCCCATCATTCCATAAGCTTTCGAGAAAGAGAAAATGTTCACAACATGATTTCCTTCCACGCAAGAGTGTTTCAGATCGTCGAACATAAAGTACCTGCATACGTATACGAAACCAAGGATTCTCAAAAACAAAATCTAAGCATAAGGATGTGCTAAAAAAGCAGTTTTGTTGTCGAAGGACTTACTCATATGTATTGTCCACGACAAGCCAAGATCCAGCTTTCTCGCAGAGATTTGCAATCCTCTGGCCAATTAAGATAGAAAATTTGCTTAGAAATTTTGTTAAAAAATTCTTAAGAAAATGAATTTGTTTAGATCAAGCAACATGTTATGCACATAAGCGGATTCAAAAGAAACCGTAGAAAGTATACTTGAATGGAAACTTTTAGAAGAGATTGAAAGAGAGACCTTCAGAAGAGACTCGGGAATGTAGGTTCCAGATGGATTGCCGGGATTTACAACACTGACTAGCTTCGGGACAGGTTTACGTTCCGATAACACTTTTTCCAACCAGTCTGAAAATCAGAAAATTCAGTTATATATTTAAACAAGGAAATTGGACATGCCTAATGGTGATGCAGAGTCGTCGTAAAATAGTTTTACACTGAAATCTAATGAAAACTCTAATATTGCCGAGTAAAGAGGATATTTCTCTTAGCAACGATAGAATTTCTTGTTCCAAGTCCAATGCAAGTAAAGAAGTAGCGAGTGACAAGATAATGTGGTGTCTTACCTACATCAGGATGTAGTGTTTCCGGGTTACCAGGACCAACTAGTATGTCGGTAATGCCAGTCATCTGGAAGGCCATGTATGAATTGAAGTAGTACGGAGCAAACATAACCACAGAATCTCCCGCGTCACACAGAGTAAGAACTAGATTCACGAACGCCTGCACTGCAGATATTAAGAAATGAGACGAATGGATTGCTAAAATGTCTGTACGCTTCACTTTTTCAGAACCGTGTTTTCTCATTTTCGAGTTATGAAAAGATGACAAATATTAGTCGCAAATTATATAGCTGGGGGATTGATCACCTGATTGGCACCTGCGGTAACCATCACCGAGGATTTGTGCAGATTGTTTTCATTACGCAACTGCGTGACAAAAGCGGACAAGTTAAATTGAGGGATCACGAATATCAAGGATCAATTCAGGTACAACAAAATTATGGTCGATAGGAAGTTGATCCTCGTGCAGGCCGAAACCATAGTTCCCTATAAATAAAAGGTGATGTAACTAACAAGAAACTAGATTAGATTGTTTACCTTGTTCACTAATGCCGCTCTGAGTTCAGGAATACCTTCATCATTGCCGTAACGGCTAATAGAAGGCTCATACACAAGTTCTTTCACCTTATCCAATGCTTCCTTTGGTGGTTGCCAATAAACCACCCCCTACATAAAACAAAGTTCAACAAATCATTAAAATTGCATTTCATACAAAGTTGGAAAGTTAACCATTCGAAGCCATAAAATGGATCCAAACGGGTCCCACATAATGCGAAGTGAAGTGTATGTTTGGCTGTGCGGTGAATTCAGAAAAAATCATAACAACACCGTGATTTTGTTGAAGCTCCCGAAGTAGTTTTTGCTAAAATTGCAGCAAATCAGAACCGCTAATCAAGCTTCTCTCGAAACTCTTAATAACAAACATAACAACAAGCAAGCAAGCTATACTCATTTATAATATAAACATTGGAAACCATAAAACACACAAAGCAAAACAACAACAACAACAACAACAACGAACTAGACTAATCTATACACCAACATTGGAAAGCAGAAAAAACACTCACATCTATGACGCACAGACACAGACACTAACACGGCGACACCCATAATAATTTTAACAAAAAAACTAAACATAATCACAAATGTCGGTGTCATGTTGGGGTCAGACATTGACAAAGATTCTCAGAGGCGTCACACACATAACAAAACCAACAACCAAGGTAGTTAATTTATAATCAAAACATTGAAAACCAGAAAACAAACCCACATAACCAAACCATACTAAACTAATTTATAATTCAAGCATTGGAAACACACCATAACACAATCAACCAACATTGATATCAACAAACACAAACATCGAAAACAGAAAAAAAAAATGAAGACAAACCTGAGCTAAAGACACAGCATTCTTAGCACCTCGAAGCAAATCCTGCATCTGAAAACACAACCTCAAAATTCAAGAAATCATCAATCCAAACACTCATCATTAAACAGATGAAATTAAAAAGAATTCCTTAATATATAACCTTAACCATAATCGGCATCTCAGTCTCCACAGCCCTCCTCGCAAGATTTCCAAAGGAACCCATCTCTGTTTTCACACAAAACCAAGAAAACAAGTTCCAATTTTGAGACTTGTTATAAACCAAGGAAGTCTTGTAGAAGAAGAAAACGTCAACAACTGGAAACAACAAAAAGACGATGAGATGACCCTACTAAGGAAAAAGAAATCAAGTTTGAAAATCCACGCTTCACCAACTCATCCACCATTAAAATACTAGTATATTTATAACACAATCCAAATCCAATAAAGGGTAAAAGGCAAAACCCTTTTTCTCTTTCTTCATGCGTATCTTTAACGCCAGAAAAAAAGAAGGAAAAAAATGGGTATTGAATAATTTTCCTTGTGTGAAATGTGAAAAGGGTGATTTTATTTTTTTGAGTGAACTCCGAAAAAAGTGGGTTTTTATGAACTTTGTCTTGTTTTCAGTGTGGTGAGTCAGTCATGCAGAGGCAGACAAAACACACGACAGAGGACAATTTCGAAACCAATCTCTTTGGTTGTGTTTTTGTCCTATGTTTTGAGTTGTTTCTTATCCAATTTCGGCACAGTAAATAGGTAAAGAAAAAAATTAACTAAAAATATTAGTTATTTGAAATTATTGTTGTCCACGTGTTTATTTTTATATAGATAGGTCCATGAACACCTAACCAAAACACAAATAGGAATTAATCATAAAAAAGTTTGTGGTTTATATGCCCCGAACTAAACTACAATAATTGCTAAAATTAATTTTTATCTTTAAACTGATAATATAAATTAAAAAAACATTCTTTTTAGAATATCTTTTATTACAATTATTTTTTATTTTCAGTAAAAAAATTATTATTTTTAATTTTAGGAATTATTTTTTTTTAGGAATATGTTTTTAATATGACGTTGGAAATTGGTCAAGTCAAGTTTTAGTATGGGTGGAAGTGGATGGCTAGCTAGCTAATAAAAAATTGAGTTTAATGTTTAGTATTCATCTTCTTTCAAAAGTATCATTCAAAAATGTGCCATGTTTGTTCTTAAAAGGAAAGAGGTGACATGTCACATGCATGTTTGAGCTGGCCAACTTAGCTTCTACATTAAGCTCAACATATATTAGGGTAAAAAAGTGACAAGCGTGTGAGAGCTAGGGTATGGTGGATTATTATTGTATAAAAAGTAAAATTTAAGAAACATAATTTTAGAAAGAAAAAAAAACTAGTACAAGGTGTAAACATAATAGGAAAAAAAATTACACAATAGTTTAAATATAAATACAATCAAACTATAACAACATGAAACTTAAAATTTTAATTAGAATGATTTATCAATCAAAGTCTATCAATCAGACTATAGACTTTTCATCGTTAATATTCACACAACAAATTCAAAACGAGTATTGGGATATGAAAGATATATTGGGAAAAACCTAAATTCCACATTGTTTAGAGAGAGTTTCAAAATGGTTTATATAGAGTAACACATGTGAATGGGGTACATTAAGGTTAAAAATATTTTATATAGAGTGACACTACTCACCTTACAAGTCGATTTAATAAGAATGAATTTAGTCAAACTCTAATAAAATTTGGTGGTTTTAAACTATTTTATATCCACTACTATAAATAATACATTTCATGACGAAACTTTTACCCCCAGCCAAAAAGAATCTGAGGTCAAATGACCTGAAGTGCATTATTTTTTAAAAAAACAATTTCATATTTTTCCCTGGTTTTGTCAAAAATCAGTAGATTATAGATCAGGGTTTAAGCCTCGATTTTCAACTTTTGCAAATTTATATTTTATTTAGAACCAAAATTTTTGTCTTTATTTTTTAAGTAATCTTATAAATCGGTTCTTTAAAAAACCGACAATATAAGTTTATTAATGTTTTATTTAAATAAATTAAACGCAATTTTCATTTCGATTGATCCTCTCGATTTTTTTTGAAAATTGAAATGGTAACTCTAATTATTATTTTACTCTTTTATTAGAATGTTAAATTTCATTCATTCACTTTTTATGCTTTAGAACTTTTTTTTTTTGACTAAATGAACCGAAACATCATTCACTCCATCTAATAAATTGAACCACCATCTTCTCCAACAAAGAGAAAAAAGGAAGCTCGAATCTCAAATTAACACATTTTTTTACGTTTTCGGTATGTAGAACACTCTCATGTGAATGTTGTTATTGTCGTCGTTGTTATAGTTGTTATTGTCATAGTTTTTTAAATTTAGAGAGTGGCGGATCTTCTCAAGACCCCCCTGAGGCTGCTGCACCACTCAACAATTTTTTTTCCTTTCTAATATATGGTTAGTGTTATATTAAAGTAATAGATTAAAATGTGTAGTCTAGGTGATTTGGATTTAGTTAATAGGATTAAACATAAGAATAGTTATTTGAGTTTGTCCTTTATATTATGTATAACAGTTATAACTTATGCATATTATTTTCGTACTTTATATTATGTATAACAGTTATAACTTATGCATATTATTTTCGTACTTTTATATAAGAGATAATTTATTTTTTAAATTTATTGAATAATTTATTTATAGATTAGATATATTGATTATTCAATGAATTTAAAAACTGAGTTGTTTCTTATAAAGAAACGAAGGTAGTATTTATTAAAAATCAACTTCTATCATTATAATATTAATAATAATTTATTTGTATATTATTTTAAAGTGATACAACAAACAAAAAAATATAAATTATAATTTGAATATTTGATCGGATTTTGTTTGAATGTTTTAATTTATAATTTGAATATTCAACCAATCTAAATTACACTGTGTGAAATCAGATCGAATCAGATGAGATTTTTTTAACTAATTATCTAAAATTAAACAAAACTAAAATTAACTTTACTTTTAAATTAATTTTTTTTCTTCAAAATCGGTTCAAATTGCACTGTATTTATTGCTCCCCCTGATATTCTGAACAAGATCCGCTACTGGACTTAGGTATAATGTACAATATTGTTTTACAGGTATTTGTAATTGTTGTAATTTATTGTTATTGTTGTATTATTTTGTAATGTTCATTTTTATTTTACTTTCAGAAAGTGTATGTTATTATGGATCGTAATTGGATGAGAGCAAATAGATTAAATAAAGAGTATGAGAATGAATTGATTTAATTTCTTGAATTTGCAGAAAATAATTTATAAACTTTTTAGTGTCTTTGTAAAATTTGGCGAAATACGCAAAAACTTGCTTATCCCTTCCCTACAGAGAAACTCCAATCAAAGCGAGGGTGGTTGACATGGATTTTTTGATCTACCTTCATCCTCGAGGTCAATGAACACAAACTCATGTCCTTTTCTCTTAACATCTTTCTTACAGAATCACTATCTCGTCAATGATATTGAAACCTTTAAACTCCTCATAAAGATCTCTTGCTTTGAACTCGTTAGAAAAGAATGTGAAGAAAAAAGATGAGGAAGATTTAGGATTCCTTGAGCCTTTAGTGAAGCGAGTTCTAGTAATATTATTCCATAAGCTACTTCTAAACTTTTAGCTCTTTTTTATTTACCTTCCTCCATCCCTGATCATCATACATAAAATTCTTTTATTGCATTGGTGATGATTGAAGATGGACGAGTTTTTAGAGAGAAATATGACTATCTCTTTATGAATATGTTTGGTACACAAAAATTATTAGTTTTTTTTTTATAAATTCATTTTTTTAAAAAATTGATTTCAACTTTTTAATATTTTTTCTTCTATGAACAAAAAATCCTTAAAACCAATTGTGTTAGATTAAATCTCATTACATATTTCTCAAAATGCATACAAAATAAAATAAAAGTTATTTTTAATTTTTTCTTGCAAAACATTTTTTTGATACACTATCTTTATAAACTAAAAAGCACTAAAAATTTTGACTTAGAATTCAAAAAAAAAAAAGACTCAATATTTAAAAAGAAGTGTTTCTCATAAAAGAATTTTAATAAAAATAGAATTTAAAAAATCAATTGAAAATTTTAAAGTTGCACTAAATTTTCAAATTTTTTAAAGAATTTGTTCTTCGGAATGTAACTCTCATTTTACATAGATCTCTCTCCGATCACATGCCTTAATCTCAACTAATTCAAAGAGGATGTAAACTAGTACTGATGGGATGTAAATTCTTCCAATGACAAAACATGCATCGTTGAAATATTTTCCAATTATGATCAAACCAAAGAAAAGAGACATCACATGAAAGAAGTTAGATTTGCTTCTTCTCATGCTCCTAATATATTGGAATCAACATCCAACATTTACTCACCTACTTACTCACCAACAGGGAGTTAAGAGAATGGGTGAACTTCAACTTGCAATGAACACTAAGGTTAACAAAAACACAAAATGTGAACATTAACAAGGTTAACAAAGTTTTCAGTTTTACATAAGTCATGTTTGAGAAGTCTATCTTGTAAACTTTTCTAGACATCGCGGGATTCAATCGAACCGTAAAAGTTCTTGACCACATTTAACCAAGTTAAGGTATGATGAGGAGGTAACTAAATTGGGAGTATTCTTCAGATTTAAAAATTCAATATTTGCAGAATTCAAACTAGTAACAACATATATCATATTGTTGAAAGCAACAAAGTCTACAACAACACAGTCTTACACAATTAAATTGGGAAACTGCTTGAGTAAAGACAGAGCAGAGTTGTTTCTATCAATCCCACTCTCTTAAGAGAACTGTGACAACAGAATTCTTGCAATTGTATTCAAGTAACAAACCAAACATTTGCAAAAAATAATATCTATTTGCAAACGTGTTGCGATCATTATGAACTGAGTTATACTCAAAGTTAACATAAGTAAACTCATTGTGGCATTTCAACAAACACACTGTTTACAAAACTCAAGCCAATATCAAAAGAGTAATTCTCATCAACGGTATCAACAGAAACAAGTCAAGAAAAACAATTATTTTGCATTAACAAAATTTTATTACCAGCAAAAAGAAAAAGATGTTATAACAAGAATTTTATTACCGACAGTCTAAAACTGTTTTTACATTGTCAACAATATCTTTAGAATCTATTTGGTT